TCTCTTCCCCAACAGAACAGTCACTCATCTGTCCACTCATTACTTTCAGTCATTCCCTACAGCTCGACGCCGGCGTCACTTCACTCATTTTCACCTTTGTGTGCACATCACTTCTAACGCCCGGAATCACCGTCCTTTTTACCAAAACCTCAACCAACCCTCAAGATGAAGACCATCGCTGCTCTCGCTCTCACCGCCTCCATGGCCAACATGGTTGCCGGCCACGCCATCTTCCAGCAACTCTGGGTCAACGGCGAGGACAAGGAGTCCACCTGCGTCCGCATGCCCGCCTCCAACTCCCCCGTGACCGACGTCACCTCCAACGACATGCGCTGCAACGCCGGCTCCGCCGCCGCCTCCACCACCTGCGGTGTCAAGGCCGGTGACACCATCACCGTCGAGATGCACCAGCACAACACCCGTGCCTGCTCCGAGGAGGCCATCGGCGGTGCCCACCACGGCCCCGTCATGATCTACCTCTCCTCCGTTGAGGACGCCGCCGCCGCCGACGGCTCCAGCTCCTTCTTCAAGGTCTTCGAGTCCGGCTACTTCGCCAACAACAACACCTGGGGTAACGACCTCATCAACGAGGGCTGCGGCAAGCAGAACTTCGTCATCCCCTCCGACATCGCCCCCGGTGACTACCTCCTCCGTGCCGAGACCGTCGCTCTCCACGCCGCTGGCTCTGAGGGTGGTGCTCAGTACTACATGTCCTGCTACCAGATCAAGGTCGAGGGTACCGGTTCTGCTAAGCCTGAGGGTGTCTCCTTCCCTGGTGCCTACAAGGCCACCGACCCCGGTCTGTTGATCAACATCTACAACACCATCTCCAACTAGTAAGTTCGAAATGTCAACGTTGACTTGGAATGGCAACTAACATTGTGTTCAGCGTCATCCCCGGCCCTGCTGTCTACGGCTCTGGCTCTTCCGGTTCCGGCTCCGGCTCTGCCCCCGCTTCTTCCGCTGCCGCCTCCGCCCCTGCTGCCACCAGCGCCCCCGCCTCTTCCGCTCCTGCCGCTGCTGCCCCCTCCAGCGCTGCTCCCACCACCCTCGTCACCTCCGCTGCCGCCGCTCCCTCCGCTGCTGCTCCTTCCACCACCTCTGCCGCCGCTGCCACCCCCACCGCTCCCAGCACCGGCTGCAAGCGCCGCCGTGCTGCCCGCAAGGCCCGCCGCGCCGCCCAGTACTAAGCAGAGTCGACTTCGGTCCGCTGTTGAGAGGAGAGAAGATATAGGACGTGTATCTTTCAGGTACATATTAGAAGTTCTTTGTACATAATATTCTCGCGTACTTCTGCGATTTACGCCCCATTGAGTGGCACAAACAAGACTATTTACCTTGTTCAAACAAACTTTGTCCCGTCTACAATGTGATTGAATTTTGAACTTCATCGACAGCAGCCCGTGCTTCCACTCGATTCGGTCTCGTCTCCTTTTGACTGTAATTGTAACTGCCGAATGCCAACTCAAATCTGTCGAGATCTTGTCTTGACTGTAGTCCCAGACGAACATGTCAACGGGTAAACCTTGCGGGTGAATCGTTCGTCACACATGTATTGACTTTTTCCCTCATAGCCTTTCAAGAACATGTTGGGCGAGAAGGCATAGCCAAATTGGAATGGTTATTCAAGAACGTCAAATAGGCATGGGAAGGTAACGTGCTTATATCCTTATATTCTGGTATGGCTTATGTACAAGTGCAGAGAAATGCTAGTGAACTCCATGCAGGCCAGTCCGTGCTCGCTCAAATTCAATCATACACGTCCAACTCGTTAAACCAAATCCGATCCCCTAATCTCGTGAGAGAAAGATAAGAATTGAAGGTAAATGTCGAGAGGAAGAAAAATCTCGGCGAATCGTCTTATGTGCTGTAAACAGCAACATACTTGACTTCCATCATAGACTTCTCGCCGCCGACAGTCTGCGCATTGGGTGTCTTGGTACCAGCCTTAGCATCGGGGAACTCGCCGCCGATGGCAACGTTAAGCAAAATCATCTTGGGTGTGCGAGCCAGGTTATTCCAGTACGTCGCATCGCCGATCTGCTGGCCGGTGACCGTCTGGGTCGGCTTGTCGTTGACGTACCACACCAGTTTCTCCTGTTGGAAGCTGCCGCCCGCGGAGCGGTCCACCTCGCAAGCAACCTTCACGAACTGTCCACGGGGGAATTCGGCGCTGGAGCTGATACCAGTCTTCTCGTTACACGGACCGCCGTCGATGACACCGCAGTGGGCGGTCTGGAACACGGTCCCGACGCCGTTGGACACTTCGAGCATGTCGATCTCGCCAACGCTGGGCCAGGAGGTGACGTTCTCGCGGAAGGAGGATCCCATGGACCAGAAGGCGGGCCAGATGCCGGCTTGCGTCGCGGGGTCCGAGGCCGGGACCTTGATGCTCGCCTCCATGCGCAGCTTGCCGCCCTCAGGGCACTTGAAATCCTGCGCGGCGGTGGTCTCGATGCGGGATGACGTCCATGACTCGCCGCTTTTGATAGGTGTGATGGCCAGCGTGCCGCTGGAGGTGATGCCGATGTTCTTGGGGTCCTTGGTGTACGTCTGGATCTCCTGCGTGCCCCAGTTCGCAGCGCCGCCGGGATAGCTCGTGCCGAGGTCGAATTTCCACTTTGCTGAATCGGGTAGGGCGCCGGCCTTCTGTGTCGAAAAGTCGTCCTGGAAGACGATCTTCTTGTAGCCGGCGGGGAGCGTGGGGCCGCCGGCGGTGCTGTTGCCCTCGCCTGGGGTGCCGCTCGCTGCGGGCTGAAGGGGGTTGGAGGCGGGATCGGGAGTAACAGGATCGGGAGTACTTGTGGGCAGCGACGGGACGGCACCGGAGGGTCGGAAGCCGGAGCCCGGCTTGAAGCCTTCGGGGGCGTGGTGGTTACCCCTGACTGGGAAGGGGGCTGGGGTCGCCAGGCCGTAGCTGGCAAGAAGAGCAATAACTGACAAAACCTGTTTTGTCGACATGTTGGCCAGCTTCATCAAGAAGAAAGGGGAGAAAGAAAGCAGTGAAGGGAAAGCGAAGGTAGTAAATGCGCTTGCGCTTGGTGACCTTAGGAGAACAGGATGGGTGGATGATCCAGAACTCTCCAGTCTAACGGGATTTTCAAAGACTTTATAATCTTGTCATTGTAAATCTGATGGAATCATATATCATGACCACTATTGCCCATCTCCCCTCGGTTAGATGGTTCGTCTAGTTCGATCTCTACCTCTATTCTAAGTCTAAGTGAGTGAACCCTACCGGTGGGATCTGTGGATCAACAACATGGAAGCCCGCTATTTTCAGCTTCCAATTGCACCACTGTCATGAGCGTTCTCCTATCTTAGTCGTCACTGTTAAGCTTAGTCGCTTACCAAGTAAATGGCTTATTCAAGGCTGCCATCCCATAAAAAGCTGCCGAAGCTGATGGCCGAGTGGGTCCCCGGGGTCGCATCTTTGACGTGAACCATTCCGACATTCCGGCCTGTCGGCCGGGAATCAACCAAGAGGGCTGAGTTCCTGAGCGACCCCTGATTTTTTGGCCCGCGAAACTGGGTCTGAATACTATGTAGGCCTCGTTCTCGCGTGTCTGCGTATCGGCTAAGGGGTTGTTTATGATTACTGACTCGGCAATATCGCTGCTCTCCCGCTGTCGTTCATGCGCAAGCCACCAGACCCCGGATCGGCCAGCGATTTGGAACTTATCAGACGGCGTTAAGGCGACTTCCGCCCCACACTCACTGTTAACCCCAGACAACTATATCTATTTCTAACCCACGGTCTCCCCAGACGGTTTGAATTTACCTCTCACAGGCACCACAGACCGCAAGACCCCAAAAATGGGTTGTTTCTGGGCTAATTTCTGGCCTCGTGCCTGGAATTGACTTGGCATCCCGCGCGCCAAGTTGACGTGCGCCGGGATGGGATCGGACGCAGAGGCCGACTTCTTTTGCAGTGCAGCCAGCTTTCGAGCACGCGGAGGGTGGTTCGCTGTCGGTCGTTTTGCCTGTTTCTTCAAAATCTCCGTGAGAGTTTTCGCCAGGGATGGGAGCTTCGGTTGGCGATTTTCGCAGGGTCTCGACTCGCCATGTGCTGCTGACATACAATTTATTCAAGACTACAGCTCGGCTTGACCTCATGCGACCAAGCTATTTGACAGCCGTTTTGCTCGCGGCTGTTATTCTGTATTTATCTCTTTGGTTTCCCCTCACCTCAATCCAGATTTGATGTCAGGTTCTTGGCAAGTTCGGCAGTCGAACCGTTTCAATTCTATTTTAGCTCTTGGAGCCCAGTCAAAGTGTTCCTTCCAGTCACACGTCCGCGGGAGTCAGAGGCAATGTTGTTATCAAAATTTCCTCCTATTTTGCACCAACTTCTGTGGGCTTTTCTCAAATAGAAGCAATTCAGAAATTGTGCATCGGCATATCGCTCTTCCTGTGCAAGTGTATGTATCACTGGGTGGGCGCAAGTAGGACTTACTTTCTATTGTGGAAAGCAGGTATGAAACTGAAAAGACTTAAAGCTTGGCTGATAAAAGATCACGTTGAATTTCACTCCGTCGATGAGGAGGCAACTTCGCATCGCAAAATATTCGGGGCAACTGTTATTGCTTATAAACACATTACAGACATTACTTTGATGCCGTTGATGTGGACCCTACGTGCAGTTCATAAATTTCACGATTACACAGACGTTCCTGCTGGCAGTGCCAACTAAGATGCTGAGTTTGTGTTTTACCGCCTTCACAGTTCGCCCATGTTAAACATAGTCTAACATGACATCGTATAAGCAAATCTATGGTGGGCTAAACGTTCGTATTTCACAATTTGAACTAGGTTATTCCATAGCACAATTTCTAGCCTGAAATGTTTGTCCAAAAGAAACCAGTCAAATCTTAATTACTTAGAAGCGGGTACCACCAACGCCTTTTGCCTATGTTTTCTTCTTGATCGTGGGCGTCGCCAGTGAGCTCTTCTGAACTCCTGTGTCCAATTTCCTCGGCAAAGACCAAAGAGATCTCGGCCTAAGTCTCTTTCCAAGGTCGCTTCTGAGGGTATGAGGACTGTCGCTCCCACTGACCACCGAGCCCCATTATTTCCCACCAGACAGCAAGGTATCTGCAAGTTACGAGCATCCAATAAAACTCTGGATCATCTGTGACCTCTTCATGGCCATTATTCCCGTCGTCTTCGTTTTCTTCGTCATCATTGTTCTCGCTCTTATCTGCTTTCTCATCCGCGTCATCGTCCTCGACTTCGGCGCCGCTGTGGACTTGTGGCTGTTCGGCGTTGATTGCTTTTATGAAAACAAGTCGGTGTGCTGCCAGCTCATAACCACTATTTTCAAGTTCCTTGTCATGAGCCAGCAAGGAATTGAGACACTCAGAGTCCACGTATAGAGGATAAGCGAAACGAATGGGATCCCGGTGATCTTCCGGGGGTACCTCTCCCTGTTGGTCTCCGCTAGGTTGGTCTCCGCTAGGAGGGAGACTCGATACCCACTTCATGAACTTTTGCCGAACATGTTCAGGAAATACGTTTGCGAGCGACGGGTCTTCGATGATCGTAAGGCGAAAATGCTGTCTTAAGCGCTCTCTGTCGAACTCTGATTCAAATTTAAGCGTGTTATCGATGCATTGATATATGTAGGTGAGGTATCGCTCCCAAAGTTCCTGATTGTTGTATGTAGTTCGGTAAACATAAAAGCCCCAGCAATAAGAACCAGATCCCTGCATCCAGAGTTGGAGTTTTGCTTCTCTGAGAGAGGAGCCATAGGGAGGGTATGGATTCTCTGACGACATGGTGTGGATCGGGGTTGGGGAAACTGGACTTTGGAAGAATAGGTTCCAGTCGATTGAAAAACAGGTTGAGGTGTTTACGAAGAAACGGAACAAGAATCAAAGTTTGAAAAGCATAGTGTTATAATACATTTATAAGATACTCATAGAAAATGACGTATATACACGCCACTTTGGGGGCCTTTGGAGCCTCAATACCTCTAGGGGTTGTGGCAAAGTTTAATCAGATCTGAAGGTCATGAACTGCCGTATTCCTCCCCCTCCGAATGAAGGTTCAATTCTTCATCCCCATATACTTGCACTTTCCGTATCTACGTACGGTGGGAATCACTGTAGGCCGGAGGTATGTTTATTCGCAAAATGTTGCACCATGTACCTAACAACACCACAGGTTAGGTCGAGAGGCATGGTGTCGCTGGAATCTATCAGTCGTCTCGTTCTAACCATGGAAGACAAGCCTCATGCAACTTGTCTAGCCCATCGCACAGCCCAATTATTCTCTGGTAGTGCTGAAGTGCGTACTTCTTGACAAATTCAAGAAAGCCCACCAAGATGAAGTCGGCATATGACACTGGGACCTCATTAGACCTCAGTCTAAGACCAGAAGACAGTAACTTACCCTGGCTGCCCTGGAAGAAGGGCCCTTCCGTCTTGTTGAGGAGAGCAGATACCTCTTGAAGGGGCAGCTTGACCTTCTTCCAAGCCTTCTCGCCGCCGTAGTCTTTCTCAAATTCGTAGATCGTCATGCCACCCAAGTCCTTCTTCCGAGTATCCCAGAAGAAAGGCTTGCTGCGTTCGCCAAGTATCGTTCGGTAAACTTCGGGCATCAAGACGGGCTGCAGTGGACCCCAAATCTTGCGCTGAAATTGAGAAGCAGCCTGTGCTAGATCATTTTCGGGATCTAGGGGCCTCTCAGGATACTCTTCTTCGAGACGTTTGGCGATATTCGCGCTGTCCATGACATAGGTCCCATCGGGAAACTGCACCGTAGGGCAGGTATATGGTGTGTACTGTTCAGAATCTCCTTCAACCCCCGCAGCTTTCAATCGGGGCCCGATTTCGGGATACTCAAGCCACTCGGTCTTGTAATCGACGCCTTTGTAGTTGAGAGCCAGGCGAGCTGTTTGGCGTCAGCAAAGCGTCGTAGTGGGCGCATGCTTTTCATACTTTTCCAAGTGTTAAATGACCAAGCTCTGCCATTCTTGTCGGGGATATCGAAAAGAACAAATTTTGAAGCCATTTTTAGATCGTTGGGTATTGTTTTGACTGAGATGGAAGGCTATGAAGATGACGGAGTGTTGTACGCAGCTGCAGGTGGGAAAAGAAGAATTGAGGGGTTGCGGCCAATATTGTGGAATGAGGGGGATTATCTGTGGAGACATAAATCAGGTCAAGTAAACAGTCAGCACTAATGCATGCAATAACCCCTGTGATGGTACCTATTGATACAGAGGAGTCAAAAGTTCTTGTCAAGATGCGTCGGATGAAAAATGGTGGAAGCATTGAGTGTACGACGGCATCCGGCATGTTTATATTTCTTTCGAGGCGATCGAGTCCCATTGCTGGTTGGTGCATAGGTACCTTCACTTGTAGGCTACCAGGCGCAGCTAAAAGCAATATTGTGTATGTAAACTTGTAAGAACGTAACCATCAAAGTTCTTTGATGATTGTCAACCTTGCCCTCAGTAAGACTGGGTTTCTAGACGACTGCGCCTATTTAAAAGCGCGTGTGTTCCTTCGTGTATGGCCTCTTTTGTAATACTAGGTCATTTTCTGAGCCAAAAACTGTACATCAGACCGGCTGCTATCACAATTGATTTCCTCGTCTGCCTCTAACACAACGTCTCCCGTAACGCCGTCATGATCGATGTTGAGAATAATCAACAGCCTTTACTTGAGTTCAGAGGCTGTCTAAATTCATTCCTCAGACGTGGAGACCTGCCCTATACTTGCCGATGTATTATGATGTAAACGTATGCATGTATAATCCCAAGGATCCTCGACGTGACACAATGAGCTGCACGGACGTATTTAATTTGAAGCTGAGCCGTTCTGCCCGCGGCAATTGCATGTATTGACGTGAAGAGCACACGGCCAAGTTTCTAGAGATCAGAATTCCCTGTGCTTCCCTGATGGCTCCCAATGGTCAGTAGCACAAAAGGTGTAGCCGCGGGCAGTAAAGTGATATACGAAAATGTATTTGGATCTCTCATTCGTGAGTTTTAGCATTTCTTGATTACTTTCTATAGCCATCCACCCTGAAAGAACCAAGCTCTTCAATCTCAAGCAATGTTGGTACGAAACTACCCTTGCTTCTTCTTCGGCTTAGCGCTAGCCGTCGGTTTGGCTGCACCCGTTTTGCTCCCGCCATTCGAGGATCCTTCAACCACAAACTTGGTGCAGTCGTCCTGTGCGCCGCGCTGAGCCACCGGCATAGCGACAGGCTGATGGTTTTGAGCCGCGATCATGGTGCACACACGGTACGTGCCCGCTGGAAGGCCACCCTCGACCGCAGCTTGGAGAAGCCCTTTGCCGTTTCCCGCATCGTCAATACCTTTGAAGAATGCAAACTTGGACGGATCTGGCGGAGTCTGGGACGTGAGGGAGCCGATGTCTTGAATAGTGATATGGCAATGGCCAATGATGTCTCCGTTGCCGTCGAGATCCTGCGGCGCGGTATAGTAATTGGTCGTCGGGTTGACAAAGTTACCAGCCTTGAGATGCGTCGTTTGCACAGAAACATTGAACGTTTGGCCAGCTTGAAGTTTGGTACCAGGCTGCGGATTCGTAATAATGGCCGAGATCATGTTTTTCTGGGCGGGGAGCTTGCCCATCGGGATACCATTGCAAGAGCCTGCCGTGATTTGCTTCCCGTTGGTGATTTGCTGGCCCTCGCAGAAGTTGATGAAATTGTCTTTATCTCTATCATGAAAAGTCAGTTCAGCGACACATTATAGAAGTGAAGCTTTACTTACGTTGCTGACTTTGCCTGCCCTGCTTTGATCCCGTCTGTTCCCTTTTCTTGGCCGGTCAAAGCACTTGCGCTTTGAATCAAGTTGGTCTTGAGACAGTTTTCCGACGCTGACTTCGACTGTCTTGCCACGACCATCCCAATGTTGCCGCTTGCTGAAGAACTAGGCAGAATAGCCGCATAGCCGACCGTAATGATTGCTAGTACAAGAAGAAACGTGTAATGCATGATGGCATGAATAAAAAGAAGTGATTTCAAACTAAATGAATGATTTCAAAAGTTTAGAATATATATAATACGTGTGGACAGGCCAGCTATCAACGACAGAAATGAATGACAGAAGGATTAAATGAAAGACGAATGGAAATCTGGATCAAATGCGAAGAGTCTGCAAAGAAGCTACAAGCGCATTTATATTTGTGAACGGCGGCCTGATCAGATACGCCGCGGGATATTCTGGCCTCGACACATTTTGTAGGTCAGGAAACCCATCGTAATACACTAGTTTCAAGGTTGCTTTTTAGCGGAGCTGTCGTCTGAAAAGCCCAAAGTCAATGAAGCTAAGCCTTCTCATCCAATATATTGGGAACCAAAGCTTGGGCGCGGGTTGAGCTGGTTTCAGATTCCACGTCTGTGGTCAGAGGCGCCCAGAAGCAGAAATCCCGTTAGCATAATCAGCAAGAAGGGGCAGGGGATGCCGGGCACGGATGACAGAGTAGATCCAGACGCTCCTCCACCAGGGTTTCACATCGCCCGCCGTCAGCAACGTGTTGGCTGTGTAATCACAATTACCCCAAGAGGAATTTTTGATAACGCCATCTTTGTGTGTTAGCATCCTCGAGAAGAATATCGGCATTCAAAGCCCAGCGTATGACCACGCCTCTTAACTTGCTTGGGAGAGACACTACCCCAGGATTGAACGTTTGCGACAATCCTCCCCTCATTTCCCGACGCTTGCATTCCTGTTGCACCGGACACATCCATCAACAACGCCACAATCTTAGAACCGGCAGTTACCGTGAGCTACCCCAAAGGACCTTGTCACAGGAGAAAGAATGAGCTCTACAGATAATTCGGATATCCTCGTGATGCTACCAAAATAAAACAATCGCAAGTTTATCATCGAAGAGAAAGTGGGTTATGATAAGGATGGGAATAAGGTGTGATTGCTCAACATAAATACACCTACTGATGGTTGTCGGCATTATCAGGGCTGTTAATGTGGGCGCGTTTGAGCCTTTTGGTTTGCTACATCCCTCCAAGTCGTGCAAGACCGTACGTAGGCTGCCTGAATAAATATTCATAGAAATTTGAGTATAAGTTTGAAGAGTTTCGGATTTTATGTCGGTGCTGTATTTGCCTTGACTCATAAGCTTCCGACAGTCACAAACACCTTAAACACGTATTTCCTCGTGACTCAAGTATCCTCGTTGCAGACCTCGTCCTCGACCAAAGTCTCGATACCAGCCACACACAGCTTGTGAAAGATGCCGTGAATGCCAATGGCTGGATAGACATGATGTCTCTCTGCTGCGGGTTGACATGCAGTGCTACACTGAATGCGTGGATCCTTGACCATGAAGTGATAGCCCCAAGGTGGTTGAAGTAACTGTTACCGACAAGCGTCCATGGCGGATCACACATGAAAACTGGATAATGATGCTCTATTCATCTTCGGCAAGACGTGTTTACCCGAGACTTCAACCCACATAGCTGTTTCTACGAAGGCTCCCAGCGTTGCTTTTGTGGGTACCTGCATGACGAGAACTGCCTGTGCCACTGGCAACCAAGCCCCATCTGCTCCCAGTAACCGCCCAGGTAAGTGCATGTTACGAGCATCCAGTAGTATTCCGGGTCATGCTGATTATCCTTTTGCACATCGTTGTTACCGCCGTGCTGGTCGTTATTTTCTTCTTCGTCCATATCTTCTTCCTCATCTTCGCTATCGTTTCTAGTCCACGGCTGCTCGGCGTTGACTGCCTTCACGAAGACAAGGTCAGACGCGTCATCCTCATGTTGACCGTCTTCGACCGCCTTGTCGTAGGCCAGCAAAGACTCAAAGCACTCGGTGTCCACATATAACGGGTAGCTGAAAAGGACGGGATCGCGGTGCTCGATAGGAGGCACATCCTGCTGCTGACAACCTTCAGGTGGAAGAGCTAAAACCCAGGTCATGAATCTTTGTCGGACTAGCTCGACGGGTGCATTGTCGAGGGTCGGGTCTTCAATAACGTTAAGACGGAAGTGTCGCTTTAAACGTTCTTTATCAAATTCTGTCTCGAAATTGAGCTGAGCATCGATGCACCCGCGGATGTGTTCTAGGTACCGTTCCCACAGTGCTTGGTTAACGTAAGTTGTCCGATAGAGGAAAAAGCCCCAGCGGTAGGACTCAGAACCCGCCCTCCATAAGCAGTACTTTGCCTCATACAGAATGGAATGTGGGGCCGGCAATGGATTTTGAGATGCCATTATGTCTTGAGGTGGGGTGAAAGAGAAGGAGAATTTCGGGTTGCATGGGAACTGAATGTCTCCTGTAGACTCTGGAAAGAGCGGACAATTCATAGAAACCATACCGCTGAAGAAATTGCCACCCATACCTATCTAGAAAAACGACCTTGTGCGACCCTCCCCGTCTGCAAAGTTTAATTGTGGTGAATGAGGCGAAATAATCACGCCTTGGTCAAGTGTCACCTTTGTGGGAGAGAGAAGACGAGTGGCGCGCAAAGTTTCTATGGTAAATTATGATGCAACCCTCTCCGCTCACATTCAAACCAAATTCCGTTGCAACTGAAACAAAGTCTAACAAGCTCTGAATGCCATCTGTGATTAAGTCATTTCTAGAACCATTTGATTTAGTACAGTGGCAGTTTTAGTGCATAAGACATCACGGCCAGTACCTTGGTGATCTGGTCATAAAAGTGAGAATGATGCTTTCATCGCCACGTGCGCGGCAAAAGCCTTTTAAGATGCCATCCTTACCGGCCCTGCGCATCTAACATCCGTTTTGCCTCTTCCAACGCCCCGATAGAAGACACTGTGATCGGAATTCTGAACAGCGAAGCTTGATTCACGCTAAATGCCATGGTGGGCTTGTGAGCCTAGATTAGTCGCGGAGGTCCAGAACTGCCTTCGTGATGTGAGACATGGATCTGGTAAACATAGATGATTAATGCACTCAGCAAGTACCCTTTGATGTTGCTTCTGCTTGATTTGAATCCATCTGGACATCTTAATTAAGCGTGAAAACATTCTCTTAAAACACACTATGGAACAGAGGTGTTCAGGTTACGTCCACAAGCCGGTTCACGAGAAGCCCTGCAATAGCTATGTTTGAGGCCATTGGATCTTATGCAAATCGGCAATCACTGTTCCTGGTTTCAAGAAGCTTCAATGGGAGAGCGCCTTCCGCATCAAAGGATACGACCCTTACCATGTCGACCATGAAGCAGATCAGATTGAACAGCTGCCAGCTGTTGGGGGGTCTGGTCTGTTGCGGAGATTGACGCCGAGCAATTTAGATAACGAGAGTTGTTCCGCCCATGTCGCCCCCCTCACAATTGTGATGGGCAATATGTCGCAAAATTCACAAAAGTCGATGCTTCGGAGTACACAAATTACAAGATCAACGACCAGAATATAGTAAATACGCAGAATGAGGAGCCCGAGCCGGCTGACGAAGTAAGAACAGTACAAGGAAGGGGGGGGGGGCACTAGAAATGCCACAATTGCCGGAGTCAGAAGTTCAACAAGACCGATAACGATTGCATCTCTACTAACTGCCATCTTCTTGGCTCCAATCAAAGTCATTGATTCACGGTCCCAGCAACTCAATGGTCGTCTTATACAACTTTGTTTTGCGATTGGTACTGCCAGCTCAAAATGACGTTGTGCTTCATTTTCTCGATTACGCGTAAAGCTAATTAACTACTCGCCTCTACTACAGAGGCATTGCCTTAGGACGAATAGTTTGATGCGATTCGTTGGGAAATTGGCGATAATCAGGCAAATAAAATATATCCACAATAATTAATCAAAGATGATGTCAGAATATCTATAAGACTGATGGAAGGGTAACCATTTTCAAGTCAGTAAGAGAGCGGGAAGACAAGGAGGCCACGAAACAGTAGAATGTCGCGCAATCTGATATTATTGTGACAAAGAAGGATCATATCAAGTAGAAATCGCCTAATTTTCTTGCGTCTTAGTGGCTACATTTCCTGTGTACTTTAGTAACTTTGATGAGGACAATCAGAGAAGACGACGACGATAGACGACGATAACAGTAACGACAATAGAAACAAAAATAGTAACGATAGTAGCGACGATAGTAGTAACAGTGACGACAATAAGGTATAGCTACAGGGAAAGTAGTCACTCTAGCACAGGAAAATTAGGTCGTCCCATTAAATTTGATTCATGTTCATCTTCTTCTTCCTTACATAACCGCTGCAGCCGCTAATATTGAGTAAATGTAGGTGAATAGAGTTTCTAAGAGCTACCGTAAACGCCGTCCGAAGACATGAATCAAGCAGCCATGCAGTCGTTCGGATGAGAGGAGATCACCCGGTGTCAGTCAAGATTGGACGATCTACGAGAGTGCGGCTACCAGACTGAACTCTGCGATGATGTTTCGCAGTGCTGCGAAAGTAATGCACTAGTCATGGAAACAGAGTTAAGCTGAGGATTTTGAAGCAAACTTTCATGGGCCTCTGTTCCCCTCTTCGTTCGCCTCGTTTATTCGGTTCTCCTGAGATGTTTATGAATCCGGGCTGGTCGCTTTCTTGCATAGAAAAGTCGCACCATTGTTCATTCATTCTTGGATCACGGCCAGGTCATATGACTTGGAAAGAGGACGAAAGATGCGTGTCCTGCTTCTTCTGGCACTGAGCACTTTAGCTGCTTTGGGTTCCTCAGCGCCTGACAATTCCGGCCTAGACTGGCCAGCAAATCGAGCATTGCCGCTGTTTCCGGATGCCGCAAAAAGAATTGAATACGCCAAGCTCACGGCACTATCCGGCGAGGAGCAGATTCTCCTTGTTTCTTTGCAGGGGCTGGTGAACCGGCGCCAACCACGCTTATACCTTTACTGGTCACCAGACTCCTCGAACTCCGACGATGCAGTCAACGAAGCCTGGCTGCGGCAAATCGAAGATCAAGGATTCAAAAGTGCTGACGTGACAAGCGACCCTTTTCGGCTGGTCGATAAGTACAAATCTGACATTCGCGGGGCCGTCGTGTATGACACGAAGCTACCAGACACGATCAATCTCGCCTCAACACTGGCTGGCCTCTATGGAGCCGTAATAGCAACCGAAGAGCTGGCGCGCCGCCTCAACATAACCATCATTGAGGATTTGAGAGGGCGCTTCAAGGATAAATACGAATTGTACGAGTACGCAGCCCGGAGCGTGTGGCCTAAGGTCACGGATCGCCTCATCACAGCGATCAAACCCATCTCGACTGTGTTGTACGCAAACAGGACCTGGGAAACTCTTTTGAAGGCCAACTCATCCGTTACGGATAGTTCTAATAACGGCACTTATACCGCCGACTTGTCTCGATTCATCAACCGCAGTAATACTGTTTACATCAACATCACGGATGCCTTCCCTGCCGATGGGTTTGGTCCTTCAGTCTACCGAGTCCAGGTTACAGCAGACAATCAGACCGTGGCCGACTTCCGACCTGGCGACGAGGCAGAAGACGCTTTCCTGTTTGACGATGGAGGCTCCCACTTGGCCGATTACCCGGGAGGCTGGCGCTTTGCAGACGGCTCAGCCGCGATGATTTACAAGTTCGACTACCACAGACGGGCCACCCAGTTGACACTCACCTTGTCGATGTGGAACCAGTACCTCGTCTCCGCATCAGCAGAGAAGCCGGGGTACCAGAAAGTCAACTCGATATTTCGCGACTACATTGTCGGCACCGCGGCCCCGTGCATCTGGCTGGATAGCAACAGGCCGCGGGAGGCGGCTTTGCTGGACAAGCTTCTGCATCAGTTCCAGCCCAACGCAGCTTACCTTGGGTGGTTCCCCAACGGCGACGAGATGACTGGCGTCACGCAGCTGGCCAAGAATGGCATATACGTCGGTGCGGCGGACTTTTACTTCAACCCGACGTTGTTCAGTGGGTTCAGATCGAAAGACCAAGCGGAACAGTCTACGCCAAAGGAACAACCAGCAGATCAACCAACGGAACCGTCGAAAGACCCATCAAAAGACCCTTCGAAAAATCCTTCAAAAGATCCGTCGAAGAATCCACCAAAACAGCCTCCATGGGGCATTCCGCCACGAAAACTCCCCAAAGTCTTCCTGTCCCTAATCTACCTCGAAGGCGACAACCTGCAATACGACCAACGAGCCATGTTCACCCACTGGAACGACCCGGAAAGGGGCTCCGTCCCTCTCGGCTGGACAATCAGCCCCCTCCTCCGCGACATCGGGCCCGGCATCCTCTCGTACTACCAAAGAACTGCCACCAAGAACGACTTGCTCATTGCCGGGCCCGACGGCGCAGGTTACACTTACCCGGGCGTCTGGCCGAAGAGGGCTCTGTCCGACTTCCTCGCCCAAAGCGGCGAATACGTAAGGGAGACGCGGGCAGATAGCGTCTTGTTCGTGTATGACCGCATCAACGCTACCGACAACCCGTTGACTCCCGAGCTGACGCTCGCGTTTCAGAATGCTGTGGGGAAGCAACGGCTTCGGGGGATCTTGTACGGGTCGTTTGTCTCTACACTGGAGGCGCTACAGGTAAATGTCACCGAGGGGTTACCAGTTACGAACATGGTGAGCATTGGGAACGAAGACAGCGGCCCTGCGACGTTGAAGAATATCTCGGAGAGTTACAAGGGACGCGGTCCTCTTTTTGTAGCCGGGGCTGTTAGTGCCTTTGATGTGACGCCGGCTAGTATCAAGAGCATGGTGAAGAAGCTAGGGGATGACTTTGCGGTTGTCAGACCAGATATGTGGTTTGATCTGCTAAGAAGGAGAGAAGGCCCCGGATGGCCTGGCCCGGGGTGGCCTGAGCCCTGGTGATGAGGAGGATCAGTTAGCTACTTATACGCATCTCAGTACATCTCGATGCCTGGCATTGCCTGATGATGAGAAACGTTGAAATGTCAATCATTATGAGCTTCACATGAGCCGACAGATGATCAGAATCAGACGCATTAGGCACGTATTCTGCTGTCAATTGAGTCTGTTGTGCATATGTGTCTAATGCTTGGCGCGATCAGACGAGCTGCTCATCAAACCTATCAAACAAGGTATCCAACTCCTTCATCCTCACCAAACCATCCCCAATCTCAGGCCAATTCTCTTCACCGACACGCTTCCCATTTCGGACCCACGTCGCGTACCTTTCATACACCTCACCAACATTTCTCGTTCTCACAGGCAACTCCTCCTGCCAATCTTCCCACTCCCACCCAACCACCTCCACAACATCCCTCTGATGGTCATGAACCCTGATCCCGATCGGTTCATCGTATGAATCCGAATGCAAATACGGCCCAGCCGGGCTCTCAACCTCCACCTCCCCCTTCTCCCCCACAATCCTCCACACCAACCCCGGCCGGCCCTTAAACGGCGTCCCGTTCCGAAACCTCACAGCCAACGTCGCCCCCTGGACCGCATTTCTTCCTCTCAACGCGCCGTGCACCGCAATGAAGTCAGGCACGTCAGATCTCACCATCCCCTCCTCTTCATCCCCGATAAGCTTCAAATGAGCTCGCTGGATCTGCATCCGACTCTTCCAGCCCTCCTCAAACTCCCCAAGAACGTGGTGCACATAGTCAACCATGTGCGCGAACGCGATTGTGACCGGATTCCCGCCCACCCTCCGCTCCGCGAAATATGCCAAGCTCGCGGGGAGTTCGTCCCGCTCCAACAGATTCCCATACGCCTCAACGTCGCTTCCCAACACCCTCCCTATCCTCCCAGACTCCACGACCTCCTTGATCTTCAGCACGACCTTGGCAACGCGCCCCTGGAGCCCGACGATCGTGCCTCCCCCGCCCTCCGCAGCCAACGCAGCAAGCTCCTCGGCGCCGCGTAGATTCTCAGCCAGAGGCCACTCGACGTAGACCGCCTTGCCCGCTCTAACGGAGGGCGTTATGAGGGATGAGTGCGTGTCGACGCGCGTGCAGCAGACCACGAGGTCGACATCAGGATCCTGCGCGAGGAGCTCGGGGTCGCCGTACGTTTTGACACTATCGGGCAGGCAGAAATGCGAGCGGGCTGCTATGGCTGCGTTCACGCTGGAGTTGAGAAGCGCGACGACGGCGTAGTGCCGCTGGCCGCGTGGGGAGAGGAGGTACGGGAGGTGAGCTTCCGCGGCCCATGATGTTTTCGCGCTGGCGGATAGGCCGATGAGTGCGATGCGGATGGCTGCCATTGTAGTCAATAATGAGCAAGTCTTAGAAACCATGTTTCTTTTCAATGGTTCAATTCCTCCACATCGTGGCCGCGAAAGTCCATCTTTTATCATCCTAAACGGCTTTCATATTCCGCTCGAAAGCCTGGTGCCAATCCGCGATTCATCGCGCCCGAGCACATTATAAATCAGACCTTGGTTCCCATCCCATTTTCCCATTTGTCATCTCGCCTACGATCGCGCTGTCTCTGGCGCTGACGTTCCGACTAGGGGGACATCATCATGCATTCAACCCCAACCGGCCTCGAAGACCCACTCCTTGCCGTGCACATCCCCACATCGGCCCCGATCCATCGCAGATCCCCGGCCCCGGCCCGGCCCAGACGCGGTGTCCTCACCCGCATCTCGAGAAACCTGCAAACCCACCATCCATCTCCGATAATCTACGATAACCTCCATCCGAAACATCCCAAATCCGGAAATAGAAACGCCATCAAATGCACTCATCCCAAGCCCACTTCCCGCCCTCGCAGCGGCGCCACCGCGCCTAGCATCTGCACCCTCCCGTCCGTCGCATCCGAAGGAGGCCCCCCCCCTCAGCAGGACCTGAACATCTTTGCTCACATCTCATTTCTCAGAAAAACACCACACTTCAAGCATACACATCCGTCCCGAAGATGCAAGAAACACAACGCATCCAAAGGATAGCCCACATCCGCAAGGTCCGTCCCGAAGTCCGATACCCCTTCTTCCTCTCCCACGGCAAAGCCTCAGAAAGACGGCGGCGACCTGCATGACACCAGTATCATCCAAATCGAAAAACCCCCTCCTCTCCCCCAACCCCGAAATCCCCGCGCTGGCTGCACTTCCCCGCCATCCGATGACCATCCCCCTCCCCCTCCCCGTCCCCCAAAAACGCCTCATTCTCATCCCGCGCCGCCACATAGTGCAGGCCCCCCTCACAAGGCTTCCAGACAACTCACAGATGGCAAGTCAGAGAGGGAAACCCGCATCAGCCTCAGCCTCATGCGCCCCTCGAGCGAAAATCACGGCGACCCGCGTCTGAAACAACTGTGGCGCCGAATGGGAAAAATCCACCTACACTCGAGGACGTCCGACCTATACACTCCCGCGCCAGTACACGTCGCGGCTGCATCTGACACTTTGAAACCCCCGTCCCCCGCTTCTCACGGAACGGACAAAAACGCTGCTGCCGGCTGCAATGCGGGCGCAGCTCTGTCAGCGGCAGATGAGAACACGGGAAGAGTAGGCGTGCTTGAGCCCCCCTTCCCTCGGAGAGTAAAACTAACAGCCGCCGGTTGGGTGATCGACAACGTTGCATTCTGTCGCGATCGCGACGCGTTGGAGGCGGTGGACAGGCAGTCAGTCTGCCAAATGAGGGGTTGGGGGAGAGACTGGGATGTCGTATCCCCCAAACCGCGACGTGCTTACCATGACCAAGGCAGCGCCGCTCATCATACGAGGGGCGAAGAAGATGGTGTGAAGACAGGTCGATACGAAATGATTCACAGGAGAAGAGACACGAAGCAGGTGATTATCAAGTAGTTTTTGTTATTTCTGGGCCATTTTGTAGGCTCTTACTACAAACACTCTCGGCGCAAGACCGGAGGCTGTGACCAAAGCGGGCACAGCTGAGCTCGACTGCCTGTCAACGGCAGTCGAGCTCTTTCAAGAAAGAACAACTCTGTACAAGATGGCCGGGCTCGGTCCAACCATAGCACCAAGCCTCGCTCCTGTGGTACGCCGAGTAAATCCACAAAACAACAGGCAGCCACTCTCCCGTGGGCCTGGACTGTAACTCCGGCTGGGTTTTCCCCCAGGTCTAAGATCGTTTTGCCTCCCTTTTTTGAACACCTCCCAGTGGCTCCATATGTCCCTCCCAGTGACATGGAGAGTATCTACAGGCCTCGAGCGCCGCCAAGGGCGCTCTGCTGCTCTAGACAATATGGTTTTTAGACAATAGATAAAAGACAATAAGATTTGGTGCGGTCCGACTGGGGACCTTTCTAGGTGAAGGAAAGATCGTAAAAGCAACGCGAGATTCGTGAGGTGTCGTAAGAAACGTGGCCTAGTCGAGGCGTGGTGGTCAAGGAGTGACGAAGGTGGGTATCTCGTAAAGAACAAGCGTTGAAAAAGAGTAGAGATCGCCGATGTCAGCGACCTATGATCGTCATCGTTGTTTCGAGGGCATTAATCGTAACAGCAGATCAGCGAGCCCCTGGGCTCGCGTCTGAAGTGCCCAGCTTCAGGATCTGTATTTGAGGAGGACCTGTGCTGGAGGTCGCCTCACTTTCGGAGGCCAACCTTTCCAGCCAGGTTGCGCCAGAATCGACTGCCCTTGCGCTCCTCGCTTCCAGCGCGGATCATCTTCGTGTCGCGCTCCATAGGTCCGACAATGTCCTCATCTCCGCGCTCTGGGAACTTGCCCTCGGCGTCGACAAGGCGAGGCATCGTGGTTGGCAGGCCGTCCTCCAAACGCCGCCATTGCTCACTAGCAAACACGTCGTCGTTGGTGGGGCGGCGCAGAATGGCAGAGCCGCCGCTGCCCGCGCGACCGCGCCCACGGCTTCGGCTGCGGGGAGCTTCAGGTCGCTGAGCGCTGGCCTTGCTCCCTGCGACAATGCGCTCCATCGTCTGCTCGTGGAAAACGCGCCAGCTCTTCTCAATCTCCGACCACTTTGCCTCAGTGAGGGCGTAGATCTTGGAAGTCTCGCCGTAGTTCTCGCCGGTTCGGACGAGGTGCTTGGTGTAGTTAACACGAGCGGCCTCCCAGTCGGCGCGCAGAAGACGGAGTGACTCCATGTTGGCCTCTGCAGGTTCGTATGGTTGAGGTGCAATGCTAAAGTTCGCGTGACCAAGCCGGTCTGACCATTCATCGTGGTCTTGCAAGATGGATGGGAAGCCAATGGGCAATTCCTGACTCGACTGAGCGTGGCGGAAAGAGGAGACCGACGGTCTCGTGCTGAGAGAGGGTGTCACAACGTGGGCCAACGACTGAGTTGAGGGAACGTCCATAGATAGGATGGTTGGTGCGACTGTGGGAGATTGGAGAGGGCTAGGCTGCGGGACTTCAGTTGGAGGCGTGTTGAGGAGTGGAGGGAGGAGAGGTGTCGAAGCCAGTGCGCGGTCGCGTTCAATGCTTTCCCTCTCGTTGGCCTTTTCGATGTCAATGGGAGCGGGGCCATCCACGCTCTCACTGCTTTCCCAAAACGAAGTCGCAGGGGTAGGGATCGAGGGCTCGTTCATGTGGCGGGAGGGCCCGGAGAGTGAAGACGATCGGCTCGAAGCAGCCCTAGAGGTGACAGGGTGAGCAGTCTCAAACGTCAGCTCAGTCGTTGGCGAGGCAGTCAATTGCGACCGCTTCGTAGACTTCCACCGAGACAGTTGAGGAAAGCGGGTTCCGATGCGGGTAGCCAAGCCAGAGAATGGCGATTCGGTTCCGGTCCGCTTCCTCTCCAAAGTCGAAGAATAGTCGGTGTCGCTTCCAAAGCCCAGGTCGTAGTCAATGTCAAAGTCGGCAGGGTAGACACTGTGGAGCGTCTCGGCGCTCTCGTAACCGTGGTGGATGCATGGCTCATCGCCTATTTCGTTGTGTTAGCGGACGTCCGTTTGCTCACGAGGCATGGGTCAACAACTTACACAAACAGTCGTAGAGGTCGAACTGCTCAGCTAGAATTGTGCTCTCGTCAAGCTCATCACGTTCCACAGGTTCCTCCTGCACATCCGGAAGAGGGCGCTTAGAGGACTTGGAATGGGAGGTTGACGTTGGTGATGCTGGGCTGTCATTGCAGCATGTTGGCGGGAGGTCAATTGATGATGTAGAGCTTGAGTAGCGGAGATGTCCGCGGGTCGAGAACGTTGGGGTGACGGGAGAGGCGACGTCGGATGATGACGAGTTTGTTGTGTAGTAGACATACTGGTGGTCCATTTCGGCTTCTACAAGATCGGGGTGCTGTTCCTCGAACTTCCGGCGCTCTTCTACAAGCTGCGGGAGGAGTAAAGGCTTGAGTCTGGGCGACATTGTGTCTGCCGTGGCCTGGGGCTGCCCCGCCGAAGCAGAGAGATGCGTTTAGGGAAGGCGTGCGGTGGTGGAGGTGCTTGTTGGTGATGTTGTTGTTGGAGCAATGGGTGGCAATGGTCAGGATTTTGGGTGGCGGTTGGGGGGACCCAGCGAGTATGACGATGCCGGAGCCGCTGTGTTGTTGTACCCTGGCAGACGTGGTGGGGTAGGCGGAGGATTAAAAAATAGACACTGCGGTGACTGTGAGATCGGGCAAAGATGTGGTGCTCGGTTTTAGTCTTCTGTCATTGCCAGGCACACATCCGTTCTGTCGTTGTTGGTGAAGTTGTGTAAGGTTGCCGTGGTTCTCGTGGGGTGTTGGAGTTGTGACCGGATGTAAGTACTCTGTTGTTGCTGACGCCACTTTGGGTGTTTCCTGCGAACCGGTTCTCTACCTCCACATTCTTCGAGACGGTCTGGTTTCCAAATTTCCTCTCTTTTTCCACAAAACGTGTCGGTGTGATGTTTCAAGGTTAACCTCCGGGGTTGGTGATGGTCGTGACCGGTGACTGCTTGCGGAAGCTGGGAAAGGCTCCTGGGGTTCTCCAATGATGCGGTTCGAAGGTGCAAGCGACCGTTTGTGTATATGGCGGTGACTCGTCCCACGTGTACGATTTGGGTGCAGGGTACCTCGGCGGTTTGGGTCGTGGTGGTTGGGCGCGGATGTGCTTGTACTGGGGGGGGGGCGGGCAAGACTATGTATGTATATGCGTGCGTTGTTGTTTCCTTCAGTGCAGAGTCCTCCTCTTCCAATCAAACGGGAGTGCGCGGGACCAACTGCGACAGTTTCGCTGGTAGCTCCGGGTCTTGCTGCAGGATAGACACGTGAGGGGAATGACAGCGGTTGACGGGGTGCGGAGAGGCGAGGCAGTTCGCGACGGAGGCAGATTCCGGAAGCGGGAGGCGGTAGGTCGACGACGATATATGAGACGTGGGCGTG